ATTGGTCATTATTATACTGTTACCATGACTGTTTTCTTTCCTAATGTGTCTGATTTTGTAAGAAAAACATGCGTAGGACTGCAGAAACTGTTTAGTTGGGCTTTTAGTTGAGAGATGTTTTTAAATCTCTTGTCTTGGCAAATCTTGATTGCTTTAATTATAAATATGCAGATTGGCTTAATCAAAGTTTCATAATGATGAGCCAGATATTTCAGTCATGATGTTTTGAAAAAGCGAAATAAGATTTTCTTTTTCAAAATGATTAATAATTTATTTGGAACCTGAGGCAGGAAAGGATGAAGTGTTAGCACAATTTATAGGAATCCACTCATGTGAATTTAATCACCTTGTTTAGGCCACAATTTTCACCAAAGGGATATTTATCAAGGCCTCATAAAGGTCACCTATTACATAGTTACATAGTTAGTCTGGCTGAAAAAAAAACAAAAGTCCATAATCCGTTATAATCCTATAGCTACAGCTGATCCAGAGGAAGGCAAAAAATACCCCCAGCAAAGCACGATCCAGGTTGCACCTGCTGGGAAACAAATTCCTTCCTGATCCCCCGAGAGGCAATCAGATATTCCCTGGATCAACTTTACCTATAAATGTTAGTATCCAGTTATATTCTGTGTATCCAAGAAAGAATCCTTTTTTGAAGCAATCCACTGAGCTGGCCAGAACCAACTCTTGAGGGAGTATATTCTACATTATCACAGCTCTCACTGTGAAGAAACCTTTCCGGTGTTTTGGAGATTAAATTTCTTTTCCTCCAGATGTAAAGAGTGCCCCCTTGTCCTCTCTGATGACCTCAGGGTGAATAACTATACACCGAGTTTACTATATGAACCACTGATGTATTTATACATATTGATCATATCCCCCCCTTAATATCCTCTTCTCAGGAGAGAATAAATTCAGTTCCTCTAATCTTTCCTCATAGCTGAGCTCTTCCATGCCTCATATCAGTTTAGTTGCCCTACTCTGTACTTTCTCCAGTTCCCCAATGTTCTTTTTGTGAATTGGTGCCCAAAACTGAACTGCATATTCCAGATGAGGTGTTACTAATTATTTGTACAGGGGTAATATGATATTTCTCTCTCTGGAGTCTATACCTCTTTTAATACAAGAGAGGATTTTGCTCGCTTTAGAAACTGCAGCTTGGCATTGCATGCCATTATTAAGCTTGGGATCTACCAGAACCCCAGATCCTTCTCCACCATTGATTCCCCCAGTTGTACCCCCCTTAATATGTATGGTGCATGCATATTCTTAGCCCCCAAGTGCATAACCTTACATTTATCAACATTAAATCTCATTTGCCACATAGTTGCCCAATTAAACTGCATTGAGGTCGGCTTGTAAGTTGAAGACATCCTGTAAGGACGTTATTTCACTGCACAGCTCGGTGTCATCTGCAAAGACTGAAATGGGATTTTTAATCCCAGAGCCTATATTGTTTATAAATATATTAAAAAGTAAGGGTCCCAACACTGAACCTTGAGGTACACTACTGATGACCCCAGACCATTCAGAGTATGAATCATTAACCACTACTCTCTGAATATGATCTTTTAGACAGTTTTTCTACCCATTTACATACAGATTTTTCCAAGCCCATAGACTTTACCTTAAACATTAGCCGTGTGTGGGGAACTGTGTCAAACGCTTTTGCAAAATCCAAGTATACCACGTCCACTCCCAACCCTCTGTTCAAGGTTTTGCTCACCCCCTCATAAAAAGAAATCAGATTTGTTTGTCAACTTCTGTCTTTCATGAATCCATGCTGTCTGTTGCTTAAAATATTTTTTTCCAGGCAAGAACTCATTTATGTGGTCTTTTAATAAACTCTTCAGTATCTTCCCAACTATAGAAGTTAAACTAACAGGTCTATAATTACTTGGTAAAGATTTTGATCCTTTTTTAAATATTGGCACCACATTGTCCTTATGCCAATCCAGTGGTACTATGCCAGTCATTAAAGAGTCCCTAAAAATTAGAAATAATGGCTTTGAAATGACAGAGCTCAATTCTTTAAGGGACCGTGGGTGTATGCCATCCAGTCCAGGTGCTTTATTCACCCCTATACTGTACAAATATTTTTGGATCATATCAATTGTGAGCCAATGTGGATCATCTGGAGATGTGTTACTACCATGCCCATTATGGACAAGAGCTCCCCCATGCTCCTTTGTATACACAGAGCTGAAGAAGGTATTAAATAAATTTGCCTTCCTTTTTTCCCCAGTCACCCACTCTAGATTATTTTGTAAAGGGCCTACATGCTCGGACCAAACCTTTTTACTATTAATATACAGTATTTGAAGAATTTTTTGGGGTTGGTCCTGCTATCTTTTGCAATCTGGCATTCGTTTTTAATTTTTGCGGCCTTTATTTCCTTTTTGCATATTCTGTTATATTCTTTGTAATGTTTAAACAATGATAGCGTTCCTTCATTTTTATATTGAATAAAAGCTCTTTTCTTATTATCTATAGCCTTTTTAACTTTGGCCGTAAGCCACATAGGTTTGATTTTTAGCCTTTTAAACTTGTTGCCCATGGTAATATATTTTGCAGTGTGTTCACATACAGTCTTTTTGAAGAACTCCCATTTCTGTGTTGAGTTCATCAATGCCAATATTCCCTCCCAGTCTAAGTCTTGGAGAGCAGCTCTCAGCCTTGGAAAATTACCTCTCTTGAGATTGAGCGGTTTCATTATTCCTGTATGTGCTTGCTGTTTACAGCTAACAATAAATGAAATCATGTTATGGTCACTTCTACCCAGATGTTCTTTTATATGGACATTCATAATAAGCTCTGCATGGTTTGAGATTACCAGGTCCAGCAGAGCATCATTCCTAGTAGGGGCCTCTATGAACTGTACTGTAAAATTGTCCTGTAGTAGGTTTAAAAATGTTTGCCCTTTAACTGTTCCTGCAGTACCATTACTCCAGTAAATTTCCGGGTAGTTAAAATCCCCCATTATTATCACTGTCCCAGCCCTTGCAGCCCTTTCTATCTGTGCAAGGAGCTGAGTCTCCACCTCCTCATTAACACTGGGAGGCCTATAACTAACAACAATGATTTCCTTTGTAGTACGCACCCCCCATGTGCAGCTCCACCCATAATACTTCAGCCTCATCACACTCTCCATCAACTAGGTCCTCTTTCACACTCTCTCTGAGATCACTTCTCACATAGGGACAAACACCAATATTAATGGCCCAGTCATGCAAAGAATGAAGCCAAGATTCAGCAATACCAATTAAATCATAGCTCTCTTCATGCAACAAAGCTTCCAACTCACCTATTTTGCTTGGCAGACTTCTGGCATTGGTGAACAAACACTTTAATTGATTGACACCTTGTTCACATGTATTTTATATATTTTTTAGTTTCATACAAATGGTACTAATTCCACTGGTTGTTTGTAACATCGGTACCTTCTTATCTGCCATAGCCTTCCCCCCCATCTTTTCTCATTCCACCCACCAATAAGTACTGACCCCTGTCTGATCTGTCTACCCCGTTATAATCTAATTCTCCCTCCCCCCTCGATCCTAGTTTAAATACTCCTCCAGCCTTCCCATAAACCTCTCCCCCAGCACAGCAGTGCTCTAGAAACCCAAATCCTTCCCTCTTCCCTCTTACACTAGGTCTTCAGCCATGCATTGAGTTCTCTAATCTCCCCCTGTCTTCCCTGAGTTCTGCATGGCACAGGTAATATTTCAGAGAATATCACCTTGGAGGTCCTTCCCTTCAACTTGCAGCCTAGTTCTTTAAATTGATTCTTAAGGAGCCTCCACCTTCCATGTATTTTGTCATTGGTTCCAACATGAACCAAGACAGCTGGGTCATGCCCAGCCCCTCCCAGTAATTTATCAACCCGGTCCACCACATGCTGAACCCTGGCACCAGGGAGACAGCAAACCATTCGGTTGAGGCGATCCTGGCGACAAATTATTCTATCAGTCCTTCTGATCATAGAATCCCCTACTACCACCAGCTGTCTAGGCCTTCCTGCACTACCCTCACCACCCCTCTTAGATGGTCTACCCTCCCGGCTGTTAGGGATAGCAGTGATATCCAGGGCTGCCACCCCTGAGCTTGCTACCCCCACATCTTCACCCAACTTGGCAAATCTGTTTGTGTGCTCAAACCCAGGGCCAGCCTTCCTTTTCTATGAGCCCCTACCACTCCCTCTCCTTACAGTAACCCATCTTTCTACCTGATAATCCTGATTAGCCTGTCCGCCCTCCACATCAATCCCATTAGCTACCTGCTCAGAGAGCAGAAGACCCCTTTCAAGGTTGATAGTTCTGCCCAGTGTTGCAACTTTCTGCTCCAGACCTCTAACATGAGATTCCAGAAGGGCAAGCCGCTCACATCTGTCGCAGTGGTATCCATCCTGGAGCTGTTGCTTCATTGCTGCATACATGCGGCACACTGTGCACTGCACAAAACCCTCAACACTGCTAGTACTCATATCACAGTTACAAACTTAACAGGAAAGATCAGTTGTCACTTACAGGTTAGTAGACTCCTGTTATAATCTGTTTTTTAACTCCGGTTCAACTCCTGTTTTTAACTCCACTTATCAAATGTCCACTTGATCAAAGGTCTGGCATTACAAATTCTGCTATACTGTTAAATACTCTGGAATAAATGTTCACAGTTGTACTATCACATGTTCTTTCCTAGACTGATTTAGATTATTAAGCTATGTATACACAGTAGCTGCATGTACGTATCTGTCTAGAATGGCACTTTTCTACATGCTGTATACATTTAATACAACATGATCTAGAGTTGCATATGTTGTGTTTTACCATCTATCTTTCATGTTACAGGAAGTTCCATATGATGCTGTACGATACATGACTGGAGAGTGTAACTATGGAGGCAGAGTAACTGATGACTGGGATCGGCGAACACTTCGTAGCATCCTTAACAAATTCTATAACCCAGATATCATTAATATTGAAGATTACAAATTTGACTCAAGTGGACTTTACTATGTTCCATCTGATGGAGATGTAAGTGATATGTTATTTTTTCTGAAAATATTTTTGAAAATGTGTATAATATATACAACATATTGAAATATTTTGGGCTTTATCCTCCTCCGCATTCCAATCACATTACTACCTAAAAAAAAAACAGTTACTTTCCAATTTGCACTTTTTTTTTCTGCTACATTTTATTCCAATGTATGAAATTTCAAAATAGAAAGTTGACCATGCTGAGCTCTAGCCAAGCTAGTGTCAGGAATGGACTCAGCACTGATGGTGGGACTCACCTGCCGTGTGGGCTGCAGTACGAGGGCTGCTCTCAGCAGCCAGAAGCTCACTTCTGCAATCAACCAACACCTGGGGCTGATTGCAGGAGGTGTATTTAAGGAATGGCCAGACCTGCAGTCAGGGCCTTGGTGTATGTTTCCCATGAGCCCCTGTACCTGGTATCCTGTGTTCCTGCCTATCTGCCTAGTTGCTGACCCTGCTTTGATCCTGACCTCTGCTGACTGTCTCCTGTTGAACCCCTGGCTTGCCTGACCATCCTTCTGCCTGATCCTCTGTACCGCGCTGCCCGTGAGTTACTGAACCCGGCTTGTGACCCTGACTATTCTCTGCCTGCTCCTCCGGTACCTCACTGATCGCACGTTGCTGACCTGACCTGCCTGACTACGCCTGACGCTCCATCCATCCTGCACAAATCCAGTCACTACTGTCCAAACCTGCCAGCCCCTTCACATCTGGCTTTCCCCCGGTACATACCCTCGGCGGACCCCTCTACCACAGTTGGGTGCACTCAGGGGCCGCGACCTGGACTCAGTCCTGCGCCAAGTCCATCCCCACCATCAGGGGCTCTGGTGAAAAGGCAGACTGGGGCTTATACTCCGCGCCCTGGGGAATCCTGTTCTGTGGGTCACTAGAGATCCCGCCGGGTGGTGCCTGACAGTACCTTACGGCCTGCCTGACCATTCCACCTCTCCAGCCTGACTACGCCTGTGTTCCAGAAGCCTGCTGTTTCCCTGTGTCATTCCACACATCTCTGGTCATACCCGGATCCCTGACAGCTAGTTTCTAATTTTGGCTGCAGTTGGGAAGGTTTAGAACGGCTGTCTGTTTTTTATAGCTTCCTTTGTCAATATTCAGGAGATGTATTCTCACTTTCTCTCCTGTTGACTATTGTCACTATGACAGAAAGAAAGGAAACTGCTGTCACTGTAACAGGAGTAGAGAGGGTATAGGCTCCCTACTCGAGACACTTGTTCTATGGAAAACTCAAAAAGTTGAGGCTTTCCCTCACTTTGCTAAAATTTCCTCTCATTTCCTGTCTTGGACAGGAAGTTAGGATAAATTTTACTCAATGAAGACCCAGACAACAATGACAACTTTGAATGAGTTCTAAATGATTTGTTACTTCACCTCCACTTAAAAGTTAAACTACATAAAATGATGAAAATTGGATATAATGGCAAAAAAATGTTGTGAAATGGGAATTGGAAAACCAAGTTCACCAACATAAGGAAAGTTCCATCAAGTAACTTAGTACTGAAAAAAAATGGAATAAGCCTGGCTAGAGTGGCATAATACAGTGCATCCAGAAAGTGTACACAGCTCTTAACTTTTGCCACATTTTGGTATGGTACAGCCTTATTCCAAAATTGATTAAATTAAATTTTTTTCCTCAACATTCTACAAGACCCCATAATGACAATGTGAAAAAAAGTTCATTTTGAAATCTTTGCAATTTATTAAAAATAAAAAACAAAAACAACACATGCACATAAGTATTCACAGCCTTTGCTCAATACTTTATTGAAGCACCTTTAGCACCAATTACAGACTCAAGTCGTTTTGAGTATGATGCTACAAGCTTGGCACACCTATTTTTGGGCAATTTCTCCCATTCTTCTTTTCAGTACCTCTCAAGCTCCATCAGGTTGGATGGGGAGTGTCGGTGCACAGCCATTTTCAGATCTCTCCAGAGATGTTCAATCAGGTTAAAGTCTGGGCTCTGGCTGGGCCACTCCAGGATATTCACAGAGTTGGCCCGTAGCCACTCCTTTGTTATGTGGGCTGTGTGCTTAGGGTCGTTGTCCTGTTGAAAGATGAACCGTCACGCCCCAGTCTAAGGTCTTAAGCGCTCTGGAACAGGTTTTCATCCAGGATGTCTCTATACATTGCTGCATTAATCTTTCCTTCAATCCAGACTATTCTCCCAGTTCCTGCTGCTTAAACACATCTCCACAGCATGATGCTGCCACCACCATGCTTCACTCTAGGGATGGTATTGGCCAGGTGGTGAGCAGTGCCTAGTTTCCTCCAGACAGGATGCTTGGCATTCAGGCCAAAGAGTTCAATCTTTGTTTCATAAGACCAGAGAGTTTTTTTTCCTCATGGTCTGAGAGTCCCTCAGGTGCCTTTTGGCAAACTCCAGGCAGGCTGCCATTTGCCTTTTACTGAGGAGTGGCTTCCGTCTGGCCACTATACTATACAGGCCTGATTGGTGGAGTGTTGCAGAGATGGTGGTTCTTCTGGAAGGTTCTCCTCTCTTCACAGAGAAATGCTGGAGCTCTTTCAGAGTGACCATCGGGTGCTTGATTACCTCCCTCGATCGATCATTTTGGCTGGGTGAGCCGCTCTAGGAAGATTTCTGGTGGTTTCAAACTTCTTCCATTTACGAATGATGGAGGCCACTGTGCTCATTGGTACCTTCAATGGTGCAGAAATGTTTCTGTACCCTTCCCCAGATCTGAGCCTTGATACAACCCTGTCTTGGAGGTCTACGGACAATTCATTGGACTTCATGGCTTGGTTTGTGCTTTGACATGCAGCGTTAACTGTGGGACCTTATATAGACAGGTTTATGCCTTTCCTAATCATGTCCAATCAACTGAATTTCCCACAGGTGGACTGCAATCAAGTTTTGGAAACATCTCAAGGATGATCAGTGGGAACAGGATACACCAGAGCTCAATGTTTCAGTGTCATGGCAAAGGCTGTGAATACTTATGTACATGTGTTTTTTTTTCGTTTTTTTTTATTTTTAATAAATTGCAAAGATTTCAAAACAAACTTCTTCCACATTGTCATTGTGGGGTATTGTTTGTAGAAAGTTGAGGAAAAAATGAATTTAATCCTTTTTGGAATAAGGCTGTAACATAACAAAATGTGGCAAAAGTTAAGCGCTGTGAATACTTTCTGGATGTACTGTATGTGCACTCTCAGCAAAAATATTTAATTAAATTATAATTTAATTAAATTATAGAAGGCTTTTTAAAAAATTATTTTACTTGGGTGTTTTTTTTCCTTTTAGTCAAAGTGTGGAGAAACTGAATGGAAGTCCAAAGTAGGCTTATAACATAGGTCTGCGACTAAAAAGCTGTTTGATTATTTTCATCTAATTTGGTGTATTTTGGTGTGCTGAAAACAAAAAAAAATCATGATTTGCCACAAAATGCAAAATTGTCTTCAAATTTATCAAATTTAAATTTTTTTTTATATTATGAGTTTTTAACCAAATTTAAAATCCAAATTACTATTAATAAATTCACATAAGTGCATTTAAGATATAAAATACCAAAAAAACCTTAAAGGGGTTGTCCGAGTTATGTAAAAAAAAAATATAGCACTGTAAATCTGATGGTCAGCAATATATACATAAGCTAAGCAAGTTACTCGGATCAAGGCTGAAAAGCAGGAATTTATTGTTGCCAGGAGTGTCATCTTCATGGTTCAGACATTGTGAAAAGGAGTTTGTTCTTTACTTTGCCCAGGAAGACAAGTTGGTTCGGCATCGATGTCGAAGGTCTGATGGGTCAATTTAAAATCCAATATGATTCAGAGCAATGGCGTCTTTTTATAGATTCTTCAAAAAGAAGTCTCAAAGCAGTTTTACTCCACAACGGTGGTTTTTACGCTTCCATACCTGTAGGTCATTCCGTACACTCTACGAGAACTTGGAATTGGTTCTTCGTAAACTTAAATATGAAGACCATGGTTGGCAAGTGTGTGGGGACTTGAAGGTCTTGTGCATGCTGCTCGGGCAACAAGCTGGGTATACCAAATACCCTTGTTTTCTGTGTCTATGGGACAGTCGAGACCGACAAAATCAATGGACCAAGAAGAGTTAGCAGCCGAGGGTGCTAACAGTCGGTGAAAAAAATGTCCTCTGAGAAACTTTGGTACCTTCCCATAAAGTTCTTCTACCACATCTCCACATAAAATTGGGATTGATGAAGCAATTCGTAAAATCACTTCCAAGAGATGGAGAATGCTTCAAATACTTGGTCACCAAGTTTCCAGGCCTGTCGGAGGCAAAATTGAATGAAGGTGTGTTCGTCGGACCAGACATTAGAAGGCTCATAGTTGATCAAGAGTTTGTCATGACGGATCCTCAAAAAGAAGGGTGGATTGCATTTAAAGAAGTCATACAGAAATTTTTAGGCAATAACAAAGATCCTCACTACAAAAAGATCGTCTGACGAATGCTGAAAGCATTTCAAGCTTTAGGTTGCCTGATGAGTTTGAAAGTACATTTCCTCCAGTCCCACCTTGACTACTTTCCTGAAAATGTGGGAGCTGTGAGTGAGGAACAAGGTAAACGATTCCACCAAGACATTAAAGAGATGGAAAGGAGATACCAGGGAAAATGGAGCATTACAATGATGGCAGACTACTGTTGGATTGTAAGGGATTTCCGGCAAGAAGAATCGCGATTGGGAATGCGCATGCGCAAAGAGATCCTGCAGAAGAATTGCCGGTTGTGCGCAGGCATGCAGGAATGCGCGATCGCGCACATGCACACGCACGGCAAAGATTGGCGCCAGATGGGCTATTTAAGGAGGGCCTCTGCTCAAGTTCAGTGCTGACTAGTCTTCAGCTCCCCCATATCCTGCTTGCTCCCGTACGATTCCTTTGTTGCTGACCTGGCTTGCTCCTGACCCAATTCCGATTACTCTCCTGCTCCTGGTTCCTGACTTTGGCTCTGCTCCTGACTTTGGCTTTTCCTTCTGATTCTGCCTGTTGAT